ATTACCTCACACTGCAACTGTAAGGAAATAGAAGCCACTACTGAAAAAAAGAACAGTTTAAGGTGGGGAGGGTATGAGGAAACCATGAAGAACTTCCTTTGGGCTTGCACAGAGCTAATCCAAAAATAGAGACCTGTCAGAAAGCAACAGATGCTACCCAGAATCTGTGCAGCCTAACAGAGGAAACACTACAGTCCTGAGCTTACTTCTGACACAAACATGAGCTGAAGCAGCACACAAGCAAAAACATCAGTGGGGATAACAGCCTCTTCAAATCTGTGTGGAGCCCAGCAAAAAAGCTTGGTGACTCCCACAGTAATGTTCCAGGTACAGGAGCAGCTAATCAGATGCTGATCTCTATCTCAGACCTGAGAACAAAAGACAGACTGGATCAAAAAAGCACCTGAGAAGGCTCATTAGGAGGAGAGGTACCAAGAGGGAAGAAGGTGGATGATGAGCCCATTAGAACACCCAAGCCCATCCAGCTCCAAACAAAGAAAACCCAGGAGTTCAGAGGTGGGGGGTCTTTATAAAGCTCAAACATTAGCAGGCCTCATTTTCCTGCAGCATGTCACCATTCACTGATACACCAAATAGTCATAGAAAATAATCTTTTTGAACAACATTCAGGCTATAGATCAGACAGAAAACAGAGCACTGGGGTTATTGGTTACAGGCCAGGCAGGGCCTTCAGTGAAGAACACCTAAAAATACAAACTGCTGAAACACTTGTGCACCACAATGTGAGCTAGGAGCCACCAGAATGAGCTTCCACTGACAAGCAAGGAGTGCAGCAGGAGGAAGAGAATGACACAGGACTGCATGCAAACAGCAACATCAGAGGTTTTTCAGCATGGAAATCAATGGCAGGGGAACAGCCTGTTTGTTCCTTAAAGCAGCACCTTATACCACAGACAATGGTGTCACTTCCAAGTCCACAGCCTTAGTTTGCCCATCAGAAATAGCAAGACCTATAAGTCTAGCCACTTTTCACTCATAGGATGCATTACTTTGAAGTACTGAATTTTTCTTTGCCATCAGAAGGGAATTCCAGATTTAGCAAACAGGACAGAAAAGAGCAACTCACACTATTCAGTTGGTCCAATCCTTTTGGGATAGCATAGGAGCTTCTACTCCTTTGAAATAAGAGTCTAAATGTTCTAATCCAGATTAGAGCAAAGTCAATTCTCAACCTGCGTATAGTTTAGACTCCTTTTTTGTGGGCTCTGTTTTGGTTTTTTTTTAATTGAATCTTCAAAAGTTAATCTAGATTAGTAAAAGAAACTTTATTGAGGCTATTTTCAAAACACTTAGGTGGAACACTTCGACAATGCTAAAATCAGATTCTGGAAAACATCCAGTAAGAAATTGATCAAAACTCCCTCCTGAGAGTTTACTCCACCTTTACATGTGAAAACATTAGCTAGTTTCAGCTAAAGAAACTAACTTACAGATTCCATTCTTCACTTTATATGGAGGTGACCATGCAACTTGCATCACAATTACACAGATTATTCTAATCTAGTTAGATGAATTTTGTTGTACATGGAGCCTCAAGAGTGTATTCATCCCCACACAGCAGCCAGAATTAGTATGAGAATTGCTAGCAGAATTACAGCAGTGCCAGTTCTCCAAAATCAAACAGAGAATTTATGCAATATTCTGCTGTCACAGACCTGATGATATAGCCACCCCTCCATCACATAAAGGGTAACGGCATCCTAATTAAGAACTGTGGCCTTATGTTCCACAGAAGAAAACTAATGAATTGACTATGAAGATGTCATAAAGTGGGATGTGACTCTGATATTTTGCCTTGTGGATAAACTAGTGTCAGTAAACAATTTATTTAATGCACAAGTCATGTGGTATAGGCTGCAGTGGATTTATAGCTGCCTGCATTTCAGAACTGCCGCGTCTCCACAGAATAACTGTCGCCCTGGCTATCATTCCAGCCTCTACACTGCTGCTGGAACCATAAACATATTCTCATTAGTGGTCCATGGCAATTTATATCACAGAATAGCTTGTGTCACACCATAGACTGAAGAGCTGCTGCTGTGCAGCCAAATGTTAGCTTTTTTAACCAGATCTGGAACAATCTGGCTACTTTGTCACAACAAAAATACCTGATCTATGCAGGGAAAGATATACAGGCATGATATTATTCATTGTTTATAGAATGAAAGGGTCAAATTCCACCAGCATCCTATAATGACCTTGAAAAATTCCCAAGGAAGATTTTTGATGCCTACTGCCTAAATTATCTAAGTTTTAGTTTACCTATGCAGCCTGAAGTAACACTGAATGGCTACCAGGCCAAGAGCACAAACAAGAAGACAAAATTGGAAGTCTTTATCTGCTTTGAAAGTTGAAGGTCAACATATGCAAAAGATACTTTAAGTTTCCTTTCACTGTATTACTGGAAGACAGTAAAATTGGGTCCCCATTGAGACTTTCTAACAAATCCTTGTTATTATGCAATAAACATGCACGAGAAGGCCTTGCTCAGCTTAAACAGAATGAATCTTCTGGTGAAGGAGAAAGCTGCAGTGAAGGACAGGCAGCTCTTCCTTGTCAGAAGTGAGAAATTAGTTTAATATACTGTGCAAAAGAAAGACAGAAGGGAAGGAGAGATCCCCTCATTAAATGCTCACCATTTGAGCCCTGCTTAATATGTTGACTGATAACTAGTGTACACAGTTGCAACAAGCAGAGGCCATTCCAAACAATGATGCCCATCTGTTATGGTAGCACTTCAGTCTTAGAACTTCCAGCTGCCACTTTGGGTTAGATGTGCCACATTATGCACAGCCTGGCCCCCCAAACGAGGACAGGCTGCACACCCTGCCCCTGACTTCTGCACCTTCAGCATCACCCTGGGTGCAGTGACAGGCTGAAGGCTCAGGGACAGGGATTGAACAGGAGTGCATGTGTTCAGGGGAAAAAAAGGGAATGCACCTAATTCCAGAACACAGGCCTCTCAAGGTACAAAGGCATCATGCTTTCAATGTCACACGCCACACAGCATTCAACTTTTTAAGTTGGTTCATTCTACATGCCTTGCAGAGAAAGACAGCAATGGTCACGACCAACCTCCACTGCAGGGCTGATTTTCACAGGTAGAGTGACTTTATAGAAAAATTCCTTTGTTCTGCAGAGAAACAAAGCCTGTTTTACCACACCATGGGCATCAAGTATACCCTTCCAAATTCTAATCAGGAATTACCCTTGTCAATGGGAATAGAGCTGATCTAGGAGAAAAGGGGATGCCTTCCTGCTTCCCAGACAACAGAGAAGTAGAGACATGACTACAAGAAGAACCACCTCAAGAGATGTGCCTATCTGCATGCTTAAGGAGCACATGTACAAGGTACATAAGCACATGACTGTACTGCTGCACCTCTCTAGAGAGGTAAATGTAGGTCTAAAGGCTTGACAGGTGCAGCCTTCAACTCAAGGACAGCTGAATTCATTTCAGCATTAACATAATGCTTCAGATCAACACAGGCCTTGTATCTAACAAAGGCTTCAAAACTACATATATGAACTGAATTGTTCTGCACACTCTATCATTAACCAGGGCCAAGAGTCCCCCTTGCCCACTGCTATGCAGCATGTGGCAGCAGCATACCTGTTTCACCACGCTGCCATAAATAATGAGGTACTGCAAAGTAAGCGCAGGGTTAACCAAGATTACAATATTTACATACAAAACCAATTCAATTACCTGTTTTGCGCACGGCTTTTTTCTCGTCATCTCCATTTTGGCAATTTCTTCATCAGGATCCTGTAAGAACTACAGAAAGCGACATATGATTTCCGGAGCACAAACCGCGGGCCCAGCAGCTGTTGGCCGCAGTGACACCCGCCTGTTCCCGCAGGAGCACAGCCCGGCAGGCCCACCCAGCCCCCGGCCCACCGCGTGGGGCCCGCACCCCAACAAAAGGCGGCGAGGCCGCAGGGGCCCGGCCCGGCGGTGGAGCCCGCGGGTACCGGGCCGGGCCCGCACTCACCGTGGCCACATCAGCTTTCCTCTTGCGGGCTCGCATGGCGCACTCGGCACGGGCGTCCCCCTTGGCAGGACCCTTGTCGTCCGCGCAGTCGCTGCGGAGAGAGGGGAAGCTGAGCGAGCGCCGGCCGGGGAGGCTGCCGGGGTGCCCGGCCTGCAGGGCCCCAGGCCGGGCGGGCCCGGCGCACTCACCTCTCCCGGCGCATGGCACCCGTCTTGGCCGGCAGGCCGAGCCGAGCCGAGCGCGGGACGGGGCCGAGCGGGCCCGAGCCGCAGACCCCCCCCACAAAGGCCGGCAGAGGCGCGCAACGGGCGGCCGGAGCGGCCCCACCGGCTCCCCCCGCCCCGCGGCCGCCCACCGCCCCCTGCCCGCCCGCGCTGCCGCTCACTCACCGCCGCACCGGCCCTCGCCGGCCGGGAGCGGGTGGTCGGCGGGTGCCGGGCCGGTGGGGCCGGGCGGGAGGCGGGCGGGTTCTGCCGGGCGCCTGCTGCCTCACGGCGCGGCCGCTCCCGTCCCTGCGCGCAGCGCGGGCCGCGCCCGGCGGGACATTTAAACGCGCGGCGGCGGCGCGGGGCCGCCTCCCGACCGCGCACGTGGGGCCGCGCGCGGGCCGGGGCGGGGCCGCCGGGGCGCGGGAGCCGCGCGGAGTTCCGCGCGCGACAGGGGGCGGGGCCGAGGGCGGGGCCTGCGGATCCCGCGCGGAGCGGGGCAGGCGGGGCGGGGCCGGAGGGGCGGGGCTCGGACGCGGAAGCGGCGGGAGCGGCTGTGGCACGTGGGACCGCGCCGGGTGAGCCGGGCCGAGCCGAACCGGGCCGAGCGGAGCCGAGCCGAGCCGGGCCGAGCGGAGCCGAGCCGAGGGGCTGAGGATCCTCGGTCTCGGCCCTGGCTCCCGGCCCGGTCCCTGTCCTTGTCTCGGTCCGTGGCGGGAGGCGGGGCCGCCACCATGGCCTGCCCGGCTCGGCTCCGCTCAAGCCCTCCTTCCCTCCCTGCAGGCCATGCAGCGGCCCAGGCTCTTCGGCCGGCTCAGGGCCGCGGTCGTCGGGATGGTGCACGTGGGAGCGCTTCCAGGTAAGCGGCGGGCGGGCGGGCGGCACGGCCGGCGGGACCCGGACCCCGACCCGGACCCGGACTCGGACCAGGACCGGGTCTGTGTCGCCGGTGTCACCCCTCAGCCGGCTGCGGTGCCCTGGGGGGCTGTCCCCTCACCGCCACCACGGGCCCCTCGTGAGGCGCCGTCAGTTTGGGCCCTCCCCGTTTCAGAGGTAAAAAAGGCGGGAAAGTTCCTCACAGGGAGCCGGGCTGGGCAAACGAGGATTTGGGCTCGGTGCGCTCCGTGTTTCCAGCAGCGAGGGTCAGGGAGTTGCACGGTTGGGCAGAGCTCTCCCATGCCCTTGGAGGCAGCGGGAAGCTCGGACAACAGGCGGGATCTGTTCCAGCCTGGCCTCCTGGTCCTTTCCAGGGGCTCGGGGTGGGCAGGGCTGCTCAGGACAGGCACCTTGCCCTCGGCAGGCTGATGCCCGGAGCTCAGGGTGCCCCAGAAGCAGCCCCAGGCAGCAGGGCCAGCTCACCCTGTGCTGGGAAATCACGCCAGCCAACAGAGCTGGCACAGGGCGCAGCACAGTGCCCATCTCAGACTCCCACTGCCCGACCGTAGGGACTCAAATGTCAGAAGAGACTTTGGTCTTAAGGCAAATTCATTGAATTTAACAAAATCCATATGTGTCTATTTCTGCCATGAAGATCAGAGACAATCACCCTTGCAGATTAAGGACAGCTTTAACTGGTTTTAAACTCGCTGTTGTTTAGCATAGGTGTTCCATGCTGACACAGAGGTCAGTCTTGCCCCTGGGTTGTATTGTCTGGAGCATCACTAATGCAGAATAAATTACAAGTATGTGAATAGCAAGCTAAGAGCAGACCTAGTGCAACAGGGGATTATAGCAGACATTCCTCAAATTTGTGGATTAGATTTAGGAGCTGAATGGTTACAGCAGCTCTGCCAAGTTCAGCTAAGGAAAGAGATGTCACTAAGACATGTCACAAGGAGATAGGACAGCCTCTGAACAATTTTGCCCTGTATGTCCCTGTTTCAGTGTGCAATCCCCATGGATGTCCTGGCCAAAGCTGTTATTACTGCCCATGGGTTTGGTTTGTGCATGCCCTGGGGTAAGCAGCATTATTCTTGCTTGCAGGGACACCAAGAAGTTCTCTTCCATTGACCCAGATCATTAATCAAGCCTGTCAAGAGGCAGAAGTTTACAAGGATGCTGGAGTTGTAAGTTTTGGTTTCTTGGTTCCCATGACAGCCATTACACAAAACCACTTCTGCATAGCCAGAATTTTAAATTAATCTTGTAGTTCATCAAAAGCATCTTGAAGAAGCTCATCTCATGGATTAGAGATGCTTAAATCCATGTTGTTTATTTCAACAGAGGAAGTAGGCCTTCTAGATTACAAAAAAACCAAAAAACTCCTAAGTATCTTGCACCTAAAACAATTGAAAAAACTTAGATTCAAATAGTACAGTTCAAGTTGTTTGAGTTGGATGAATCAAGTCAATTTAAGGAGTTAAAAAAAAAAAGTGGCCAGAAATACAGGCTGTTGCTGGCATTCAAGGTCTGTAGAATGCTTCATCAATCTAGCCTGACAAGCCACTGTATTTTTAGCTGTGTGCAAGCCTCTGGTTTCCTGAGGTCGTGGAGGTGTGCCATGTGCACAGCTGATACCCTGCATGCACACCTCAGGAACCTGGAGGGTGCAGGATCACCCCACAGCTGTGTTTGCAACAAAACAGCACAGATAATTCAGGATCTAAAAAAAAAAAAGAAGCTCAAGCCCTTTTCTGCCCTCTCTAAGCCTCTCTCCAGGCCCCTGGCAGCAAACATGCCTGCTCTGCACGTCCAGAAGAGCAGGCCCAAAAGGCCATTCTCAGCCAGAGGCAAGAGGAGACTGCTGTCAGAATTGCTGTTGGACCTGAAGTGGGGTAGTAATCTTCATAGGTCAGTACATTTTAACAGGGTGTATGTCCTTTTGAAAGGTCAGATATGTTTTAAACATTTCATTACACCTTGTCTTGGGGTGTTGATGTGCTTTTTCTTTCACCTGCCCACAGCGTTATGAACATTTTCTGGTGGAGTACTAATGTCCAAGGTTTGAAAATGTCTTCAGTGAACAAGCAGTCACTGCTCTGAGCTGCTGTTTTCAGAAAAACTTTATTAGCAAGCAGGTTGAAGCACTTTTAATCTATAAATTAGAATAATACTGTACAGACAGAGCAAAATTGAATGCCATAGAAGATCAAGGTCAAAATGCAAGACAAGACACACAAGGCAGGTTATGGGCAGAGCCCTGGTAAGGCTAAACTAGGAGAGAATGCTGAGGGTAGAATCATTGAAAGGATAAACAACACTGGGGTAAAATGATGGTAGTAAAATGGGTAAATGATGGGGTAAAAAGCCTAGTGGGGTTCAGTACCCATGAACCAGATGAACATGTGTGAGATGTCCATCCAGTTAGAATAGTCCAGTTTGAATGCAATTGATCAGAACAAGGAAGTTTTCTTCCTTTTCATTCCTCCTGAAAGAACAGGTGTGCAATAACTCTATTCTGTACTGTGCCTTTACATTTTGTTGTTGCAGTATCACCATGAGGTATAATGTGATTTGATCTACATCAGAAGAGTGGCAAACACTAATCTCTGCCTTCCTGTGCCAGAGGAAGTGCTTGCACAGATAATCTGTAACTCATAAAGCCATTCCTCCACACTGCAGTGCCTGTTTGCCCATTTCCTTACATAAGAATTACACATTAAAGCCTTCAGCAGCAGGGGGAAGACACCAAATACTCCTGAAGGTGAAGGAAGGTACAGAAGCAGTCACTTCCTGCTGGCATGCACAAAGCTGGAGCAGCTTTGAGATAAGCTTTAAAATCAGTACTTACAATAAGTTTTAATTTGGCTTTTATACTTTGTCTTTTCAACAGTAGTACTGAATTCTGCAGTTCCTGCTCTAACTGGTTTGCCTTTTCTGCAAGTGCATTGCAGTCTCTGAACTTGAATAAACCTACCTGTCAGGAGACACCTGAGGTGAATGCAGTAATTTCTGTACACATGTGGACAAATTCAGGACTTAGAGTTGTAATTAACCCATTTTCCTATAGAAGTCACAGGAACATCAATATACTTCCACACCAGTCTTCATTCTAAAGGTCTGCACAGTGCTAGAGAATAGAACAGAACAGGGTTAGAGCAATATAAGAAACAAATCTTTTATTAAGGAGATAAGTGTCAGAGATAATCAGGAGAGCATCCATACGCACCATTAGGATTGCTTAACACTCTGCAATTCAATTCTTTAGCTTTTTGTGCTACTGTAAGAGAAATGTAAGTTTTCATGAGAGATGCTTTCAGGAGCTTCTCAGCTTTTACACAGAGGTCACTATTGCCAAACTACTCTGCAGTGGGGATCTATTTGGGTTTCTTGCTCAGTATTCCAAAGGAGCTGCTAGGCTGTCCATTTTTCTTGTGGAAGAAGAGCTAGAGAAAGTTTTTTTTCCCATGGATGTTTGTACTGACACGTGGAGGGATAGAATGTAAGAGAATAGTGCAGAAGGTAATCTCACCTGAGGAGCTGCAGCTGTGCTAATTACCAATTAGGAGCAGGCCTGCCCTTAACAGGCCACAGCTGTGTCCAATGAGGGTGAGTGCTATAAAAGAGTTGGTTAGCAGGGTGGGGAGAGAGTTGGAGTTTGTTGGTTGTGCTGTGAAGGAGTTAGTGCTGTGAGGAGCTGCCCATGGGAAATCACCAAGAAGGTATAGAACCTTTACAATAAGATGACAACACTGACAGTGTTCCCAAGTGCTGCCCACAGTAGCCCTTAAGAAGTTATGTAACCATTTGCTGTTATTTAGATGTTTACATATTGTCTGAAATTGTTCAAATTGGTGTTAGCATTTAAAAATAAAGTACATGGACTTGCTCATTCCATCTGTGTTGCACTTGCAAGTAAATCCTGGTATATTCAGAGTAAGGTGACTTGTCTGGCGCATTCACAGCTTCACATAATAAATATGAAAGATTTGTGATATTAGAGCATAGTAATGAAAACAAGTGAGTGCTCAGTTAGGAAACCATCTGTGCTCAAAATGTATATGCTTTGTACTTGTGTGTTGCTAAACAATGAAATTCCCTAGACAAGATTTTATAAGCAGCAGGCTATGAGCTATTATAATCCCTCCAATTTGTACCTGCTTTTCTTTAAGAGGCAAAATGTATCTATTCAGGTTAACTTTTATTCATTCCATTCAGCCTGGCTGACATTTGTTTTGGAGCTAAAAGACAGAGCACAGGTTCCCACTTGACTGTTAGTTACTGTTCCTAACTGTAGCTACTGGAGTAGCTGCCATTAAAAACAGTTACTAGTATATGTTTTACATTGATGTTTTTAAAAAATAAGAGTGGTAAGCCTATTGCTGTTATAACCACAGTGATAACTGGAATTCACAACACTTAGAATTTAATAACAGTGGAGACAGAATAAAGTAGTATTTCTGCATAGAAACATGTTGGTAGCTTTCACTTGGATTACAGAGTTTAACATTTCAAATCTCAGCTGTATTACAGGAAAATAAAATAGCAGGCAGACTGCCCACAGCTACCTCCTTTGGCATGTGCAGGAGAACGTGAGATAGCAGCTTACTTCTGTTAAGGCAGCAATCTGCTCTGGAGGTGAGTTTTTAAAGAAGTTGCTAAGAGCTGTGCTTACAAACAGCAATTAAATGCTCTGCAAAGGCACCTGATTTCCTTTATTGGGGCACATGAGGGGTGTGGGGTGATTGCTGCCATTGTTTTAGCCCCCACCTGAGCCTGTATAATAACAGGGATGATGCCAGCCCTGCTCCCTTTCTGGAGGAAGGAGTAGAGGTGCTGAGCTTGGAGAGGTTTGTCCTGAGGTGCACATGTTTGCAGGCAAAACCTTTCTCTGGGGAGAAGCACTGGGGTTAAAGTTGCCTGGGAAAGAGTTGTGTTAGGCATATGCTGAGTTAAAACTTGTGCAATTGTTACCTCAGTTGTGGTTTGTTACTGTTTTGAGGCTTTCCTGCTGTAATATGTGTGAGGCTGAAGTGTTTTAAGAGGTTATTTCTGTAAGCAGAATATAACTAAGGAAATTATTTTTCATATAGTTAGAGAGCTAATTAAAGCTATTTTTCAGTAGCTTACTGTGATACAAAGGGGACTTCATGTGTAGCACTTCAGAAGTCTTTCAAAGTAAAAAGGAAATACATTGCTTGAAAATTACTTATAATAAGGCTATTGCATATAAGCAACACTTAAATTATCTTACCATTCAATGGAGAAGGAGCACAGAAGGCACTTGCAAGAGTTTTATCTCATACTGTCTATGTAACTCCTCCTTTGGAGGATATAATGCAGAAGCTGTTTCTGTAGGCTTCTACACCATAAGCTTAAGTTCCAAGAACTTTAATTTAGCATAACTGTTTTCTTTCCCCCATTTTAATTAGCTGTCTGATAGTACTGAAGTTTGTTTCCTATACAAATCAAGTCAGTAAACACAAATCTGTGGTGTTATATTTTTATATAAAATATGAAAGAAAGCTCTGACTTAATGCATCTGTAATTCAGCTTTCTGTATTGCAGAACATATGTTGTTCTCTTTTTAATTAAACAAAGCATAATATGCAAAAGAACAGTGGGATGGTACCAAAAGAATAACACATTATTAAAGTTCTACCAAAAATATTCACTGTAACTGTGGACCTTGAGGCTATAGGAAGAGGCAGTTGCTGCAAAGTGAATATAGTAAATTTAAAGCAGGAGAGAGAACTGTTGCAATCCTCCCATATGCCTGCATTTTGAGTTAGAATTTAATGAGACACTTTTTATGTGTAGTACTATGGCTAGGGGTTTTTATAACTTATTAAATGAATTAATTCATTAATGCAGCTAATGGAATAATTTGCTTTATGCAAATCCATAGCGGTCAAAGTAGTAGCAAGTTGTGAAAAGCTCAGTTTCACTGTGGAATTCTGCCAGCCCATTCTCTTGCTTTTTTGGCTACTGGTGTGGCTTCTTCAGGAGCTGAGCATTTTGAAGCCCCATTCCCAGTTGCCTTTCTCCCTGTTGAGATTGGTTCTTGACTGCCTGGAAGCCTGGGGATGCTGATTTGCAGATCCTGCTTCCTGGCCTTTATGATAAGCTTGGAGTTTCCCTAATACCCAGATTTTGCTGAAATCTGCCAAGTAGAGCATTTCTGAGCCAAGGGCTTCCAGGCTTTTTGGCCTCAAGGAATTACCTGGTTTTGATGGCTTGTTGTGTTTTTTGAATTTGCTTTAAGGTATTTTAGTTCTACATTAGTCCTTTTGCCACATGCAACTGCTGACCAAGTTTGCATTCTTGCTGAGACTGACTTAATATGTAGTGAGGAAAAGAGGCTACAGGGTTTCTCTTTCTGTTGTGTTGGTACCAAAGGGATTCAGTAGCTGTGCCTCAGATACCAAGACCATTAGTCATTTCAGGTTTGTTGGAGCAGTCCTAACCTAATACCAGAAAAAATGACTAAAAATTGTGGGGTTTTTTGTGGTTTTCTTACCACAGGTTGTCATCTTGGTCATATGGCTACCTCCCATCATAGGTACAGAAGTGTGGATGTTCTGTATTGAACTGGACACACAAACAAAATCAAGTGCAGATGTTTTGATTGGTTGCTATACCTGCTGCTCCTTTGCCTAATTCAGGATTTCCTGGGCTGGAATTATGTAATTAAATATGTTGGTGAATGGCATCACAGTGCAAAGGTCTGATGTGGAGTGACATCATATCAGGTCACCTTTTCCATTAACAGGTCACATCCCATTGCTTTTTAGGTAGCATGTTCTTTGTGTATTTAAATACTGAGCTGTGAGTGATTTGGAGAAGGCAGCTGTGCCCTGGTGCATTGAATGTTTGCAGGTTCTGTGCCTGGACTGACCATGTTGCTCCACTGGATTATTTTCTTCTCACTTTTCCCCACCCTTTGTGTTGGGTGTTCATTTATGATGCCTGTGCCTTAGCCTGTAATTCAGCCATTAAATACTGACACTATTTTTTATCCTGTCTTGTCTTTCACTGCCAGAAGGGCTTCCACACTACAACAAAGATGAGAGAAGTGTCACATATAAAGTATTTTTTAAAAGGAAACTTTTTTTTGTCTCCCCTTCCCGATTCTCTGTGTTATTAAGAACCAAGCTGCTATGTTTAATCTCTAATTGTATTTTTTCCCAAAAAATGTTCCTCCTATTCTTGTTCAGCTACCATATCTGTGAAAGGTAAAGCTCTCATTTTAAAGGATTAAGATGAGTGATAGAACTCCAGAGAGAGCAGAATTTATTTGCTATATATACAATTAGTTTGTCTATTAAACTTTTTGCATTTTTAGAATTAAGCTGGTGAGAAATATCTGGTTTTCTTTTCATCTTACTGTTAATGCAAAATACCAGGCATGGAATATGTTTCAAGGCTCTACTTTTACTCTTGTTATTAATCCTTAACAAAATTATACATTATCTGCAGTTGTTGCAAACTTTTTTGTGTAGCCTATGCAAAGATTAGAAATGTGTATGGCATCAAGTAATGTACAAATTGTATCAGCAGAGTGTTTTATCATCACTCCATTGTTTGCTAAGTGTGTGTCCATGTGGATGGAGAGGTATAATAGACAATAAGTAGCAATATCTTCTTTCCAGTAGTTCTGATTACAGAATGGGAGAAATATCACTAGTTCATATTATGGCATTTGGCAGAGTGACAGTCAAACAAAAAATTCCTTTATTTATCCAAAGTAACACTTATTTTCAGACATTAATTGAATTGAAAATTGCCCTGATTATCTCAGAGTCCTCTGTTATCCAAACATACTCAATATCCTGTATTCCCCTTGGATAATTGAAGTTTGACTTTACACTATTTTTAATGAGGTATAAGATTTAACTCATTTGCCTATAGTTCACATTTTAGGATGGATCAAAGGAACCCAAATTGACGAATGTATAATTAAAATCACATTTATTTCTCTCCATGATTTCACTGCAAATACCCTGCTGTTGATGAAAGCACTTTTATAAGTGGTTGTGCGCATCAAATGCATCAGCACAACTTGCTGTAGCTAATCCTCCCTCTGAAGGAAAACCTCTACACTTGTGTGTCTCGGTGCACAGTAAATAATGGTGAACTGGCCACATTTGTACAGTGCAGTGATGTTTTTTGTCATTCTTTGCCCAGGATGGGTTGATCCTGGAGAACATGCACGACGTGCCGTACACGGTGAGCCCGGGCCCGGAGGTCACCGCAGCCATGGCCGTGCTCGGTGCTGCTGTGAGACAGAGCTGTCCCCACGTCCCTCTGGGTGTCCAGGTGCTCTGTGCTGCCAACCAGCAGGCAATAGCCGTTGCTCTGGCTGCAGGTAATGCAAAGGGCTCCTCAGGGATTGCTGCTGTTGCTGTGGCATTCACTCTCCACAAGCTGGCATGGATACCGTGGAAAGCTGAGTGTGCCCTGAAACAGCAGCAGTTGGGTTCTGAGAAAGATGCCTGCTTGGTTAGAGTGGGTGGTGCTTGTGCACTGCTTCAGTTGGAGCCTGCTAAAGGCTGCTACCACAGCTTTCTGGGTGAAACCTGTCTAAATGTAATCATTAGTTTAAATCTGCTGGTGTCTAAAAACCCCCTTTGGTGTAACTCTTATTTATTTCAGTTATATGTTATATATATTCATATGTTTTATGTATATATTTCAGTTATATTATATATAATATATATAATATGTTATATGTATTTTATATATATATATAAATTTAACCCATGAGGGTTAAGCATCCTGTTTCAGCATCTCTTTATATGTTGTTGCTGCTACTGTTGTCCATGAAAACGTAAGTTTTCGTTGTCTTTAATGAATGAGTAGAATGAAACTTTTTATATAATGACAAAAATTGAGTGTATAGATAGCCAAAGTACTTAAAACTAAATTACCTTTGGGGGAATTAAATATAAATTAATCAATCTTTATTACATGAATCCTAGACTTGGCTAAACTTCCTACTCTTACTGTTTGCTGAAGCAATTTTAGTTTTTCATATGTAACCTCCCTGATGTAAAGGTGTAGGCTGGCTTAATATGGAAAGCCTGTGCTTCCTAAATTCACAAAATGAGGGTTAATGCATGTTTTTGCCCAAATTGACTGTCATTATGGTAAGGCTGCACGTTTCTGCATGTACAAATTTCACAGAACCAGCTAGAAGATGCTGGTGTTCAGTGAAAGCCATACTTCAGGTACAACCATGCAGGCTAACCTATCTGCAGTGGCAGTTTAAATTATGCCTAATATGTTCCAAAACCTTTAAATTCTTGTTAATAGATGTCTTTTGAACTGGCATTTGTTTTGTGAGCTTTAAAATCAGATGTTGCCATTTTCAAAGTATCTAGCCACTTGACAAATTGGGAAAACCTAATTTTTATTGCTGCATTGGAACCTATATGAAAATCTCAAATAAAAATGGTAACAGAAACCAGTTTTAGTTTTTAGAGATTACTGCATGTGGGCCCTTTGAGGTACATTGGTATTTAAAAAAAATAGCACATGCCCTATTTTTAAAAGCAATCCTCTGAGGAGCAAAAAATCATCACTAAATAAGGGATATGGTCTGGGAACAATGTATTTCTCTTCTTTGCAATTATTAATGAAGGGGAGAATTCCTGGAGGGCTTGGGTTTTGCTCAGCTCCACTCCTGTTCTGCACTATTTCCTCTGTAACTGTGGAACACCAACCAGGAAGGGTCTGTGTTTAATGCATTTCATTGCACTTCTCTCAAAATTATTGTCTCAAGTTCACTGAACAGGGAAGGAAAAAAGAAAATCACTTTAAGCAAAACCATAGTAAAATGGGTGCTACTTTGTAGGTAGCAAATCTTTAAACAGCTTTTCTGTAGCATCTTAGTGGTGGCTTTAATGTCAATATAATTTTGATAGGTAATTATTAACAAGGCAAATCCTGTATGCTCTCACTACAAAAATAATTTGTTGAAGGTGTTCTAGCTAAAAACCATATGTAGCATCTTCTGCCTACTATACAGTAATTTCATTTTCCCTGTGGAGATCCCTGTCTTTGGTAGGAATAACTGTTCTTAAGAGAACCACACAGGGAATTCATAAGTGGTCTCTAGGAGAAGGTAATGATTTTATTTGGTAAAGGGTGGAGGGAAATCCACAGGTCTGCAGTGTGAGGAGGAGCTCAGCTAGCTTGAGCAAGGACTGGAGGGTCCTGTGCCTGGGTGAGCCTGGGGCACTCACCATGAAAAAAGGCTCAATTTTTAAGTTTACCTTATCTCATAAATTTAGAAAACAGTGGTTCAGTTGGAAGGGACTTTAAACAGTCATCTGGTCCAAGTGCCCTCTGTACCTGAAGCTGCCCTTTTCCCTTTAAGAATCAATTATTGAAATTCCAGTTCTGGATCAGCCTTCATCAATGATGATGACACAGTTGATAGCTGATAAATGAGGAGATATCCCAGATCTCTCCTTGTCTTTTGCAAACAGTTTTGCTGTCTGAGCCCATTCCTCTCCCTCCTGCACCAGCAGAGTGGGAATTCACTTGCTGTCACCCATGACACTGTTTAGGGTGAGACAGAATCAGGCAGAGCTGTGTGCTGAGGTTTTTGCTGCCCTTTTTAAGTGCCACCATATCAATGCAGTGGTGAGGGGAGGCAGCTCGGCTGAGAACTGCAGCAGGAGCACCCAGAGGTGCTCTGAGAGGTAGGGAGTGCTGTGGATCCTGCTGGGAGAGCTCCTGTGCCTGCAGCCCATCCTGAGCACAGCAGGAGCTGCTGCAAGGCAGTGTCCTGACAAGTATTTTTGCAGCACAGACACACTGTGCCTCCAGTGCCAATAGCAGATAAAGTCAGTGCTCCTCTAAGAGTTCTGTTTATTAGTTTTCATTGGATATTGCCTATCCTTGTTTTCCAGTGAAACTACAAAATGTATTGTTCCCATATAAGTCAGAAATGGGACTGCCTGTTAACTATTCAATGGCTATTAGTTTTCAACTTTCAAATGAGAAAGTAAGCACTAGTATCATTCTCACAATTTTATGAGCATAAAAATGAATTCATTAGCAGAATCTGATTATGGCTTCATAAAACAGAAGGGTAATGATATGGTGCCTGCACCTATTACACTTGGTTAAAAATTGTATTTTCATGGCCTCCGAAAACCCAGATTGAGAGTGCAGCCTTGTTAAACTAAGTACAATCCAATATTTAGCAGAAAGTCTGATATTACTGCACTAAGGAAACACAAACCAAACATCAACAAACAAGGTGGCTTCAATAAATGAAATTACTCAATGAATAGCTCCTGTCCCAGGTTAAACCTTGCTTGCTGTGAAAGTGTCATGTCTCTAGACTCATCCACAGTTTTATGATTAGAGAAATAATTATTGTTCTATAACTCTGAATAGTACTGTAAGCGTGGGTGATGTAATGAAGCTGTAACTTTTGTTCATAGATGTAGAAATCTCAGTTTAGCTGTTTGCACTGTGTTCATCACCCAGTGTCTACAAGCACCTGCAGTGGTACTTGGGGCACACTCTTGTCTTGGATCCTGGGAATACTCCGTGCTTTGCACTCATCTCAAGGCAAGGACAGCTTGCATTTGATTTGGCATCCATCTGTGATGTTTCTTGTGAGCTGGAGTCTGTGTTGCTAAGCAATGCAGGCTCTTCTCTAGCAGGCGTGAGCTTCTGTTTCTGCAACTTCAGGGCTTTTGGAATGAAACTGGAATTTCAAAATAAACAGACACCTTGTCATTTGGTAAATAAATTTTCAAGATCAGCTATGTTTATAGTTGGAATGTGCTAAGGTAATGCCTCTGTTGCCTAATCAGCTGTGGGTAGGATTGCATTCTTGATGACTGTTTCCACATGCATTGCTTTCCTCTGAGTGATGTCAGCTCTAATTAAATGTGCATCTGACTCCAAAGCTGGAGCAGTAACAGAGCTTCAGAAGGGCTTGGAAGACACCTCCAAAGCAAACTGGAAGAGCAGCAAAACTGCACAAGATGAGTGCAGAGCTTTTACAAAAATGTGTGAAACAGGCAGGTTTTAAGTGACAGTTCAAGGCTATGAAAGCCAGGGGAGAAGTGGGGATTGCAATAAGGGAGTCAGAATTAAATCTTGTGCCTCACTGCTGTGGGCTTATTGCTCTGTGGTCCAGGGCTTCAGTCTTACACCAGAGATATTGCAAGAGGGGGGCCCCGAATGTCAATGACTGGCCCACATGAAATGGTTTACAATTCATACTCTTCCTCTTCGGTATCCATCCCACAAAACCTTCCTAGTGACAAAACTTAATGAATATGGTGAAACAAATCTTACTAAGGCATGGCAGAACTGATGGTTGGAGTAGAATGGCAAATGTTTGACACTTCCTAAGCCTTTGGCACAGCTCTAGAAGCAATTTGTTGATGTGGTGCTGTGTAGGAAACACAAGCTATGTTCAAATGGAGTCACGTGGGTTGCATATAACATGCTTCAGGCTGTCTTTTCTTGCCTAATTTCCTAAAGAAAGATGACAATGCTATTCCTCTGTGTCTGTAGCCTGGAAAGGGGGAAGAGATGCAAGTTAGTGACCCTTTTTTGGAGAGAAGACGTCATTAGAATAATAGAGCTGTGTTCTGACCCAGCTACTCCTTTGCATGGCACATCATGGCAGCAGGCAGGGCAGGGTGTGCTGCTGCCTGTTCTGAGCCACAGGGACAGACTGAGGGGACAGAAGGGGACCAGGGGCTGGGGGAAAACTGCTGGGGTCAGTGGGAGAGATGGGAGCTGAAAGCAGTGAGATGGGAAGAAGTCAGAGAGAAAAAGGGCAAAAATAAAAGAAAAATAAAGAATGAAAAAGTGAGGTGGGTTAGTCCTAGAGTGGGTTCATCCATGAAACAATTTGTGTTGGGATCAAATAGGAAGGGGGCAGTAAGGTGAATTTTCATTTGTTTTTAGTGTTTTTCTTTTAATGTTCTCAGTTTCAGGCTAAAATGTTGCTTTTTGACTGTTTTCAGGTCTTGATTTTATCCGGGCTGAAGGGTTTGTGTTTTCTCATGTGGCTGATGAAGGGATTATAAATGCTTGTGCAGGTGACCTGCTACGATACAGAAAACACATTGGAGCAGACAACATTCAGATTTTTGCTGATATTAAAAAGAAGCATAGGTAAATACAAGCAAAATTTTATATAAATATGAATGCAATAACGATATTATATTTTTCTCCATTTTCTGGGGTTTTTTTTAATGTCAGTTTTCTTCCAGGAAAATTAATCATATAGGGCGAAGTTTATTATTTAAGCACAGACTTGCAGTGCTGTAAGGGGATACATTTAAAAATAAATTTGTAGCTGTAAGTTTCTTTATCTGTGATGTTTGCAGTTGTTTAACCTTCAGGTTTTCAGTATGCCAGCTATGAAAGCCTTGCATCTGGTATTGAGACTTTATATGCATGGGTAAATGTCTATTATGTTTAGAGAAGTTTTGTTTCTGAAAGTTAGGTATCCAAGGTTATTTTTTAGTTATGAAGGCAGTTGCCATATAAAAGCATCCAAGTGATCATAGTTTGGCATTTTAAGAAGCTCTTCTCTTTCTTCTCTTTCCTGCCAATAATACTGATTCCTGCTACTTAAATCAGTGCTGTCTATGTAAGGGTTATGTTCTATGATTATCAAACAGAAGGAACTTACTTATGACAGATAAATCCAGTTTCTTTTCTGCTTATACTTTCTTACCTGTCACATGGTACTTTCAGCTATTTAGATGTCACTCTTTGCATTTGTTGTTTTTTTCCCCCCACAGAAGAACTGCTCAAGTGCTATGTATTATACATGCTAAATAACCTAATTAAAATGTTTGTGTGTAGTATGTGAGCAATCATGAGAATAATCAAGTTTGGAAGATCTTAAATATGTAATAAGCAGGTAATAAATTTCAAAAGAGAAAGGAAACAATGCAGTGTGGTGGTCAGATGAAGATTTTCAGGTCCTTTCAGAGCAGTTTCTTTCTGGTTATTTTTAACATATATATACAAATGCAAATAAACTGCATTAGACTTTCTGTAAATGAAATTGCATCATGTCATTTTTATTTTTAGCCTTGACAATTGATGAATTGATATTTGGATTATACTTCCCATTTTTCAAAGAGTTTGCATTTAAGAAAGGCAAAGAAGTTTTAGTTTCAGGCAGAAACATAAAAGGAAATGCTGAAAGACTTCTTGGTTGAGCTTTTTAATGTAGAAAAGTGCAGCTGCCACTGAGAGCTGCTATGCTCCTGTTCTTTAAATGAGGAGAAACTGTTCTTGTGCCACAGCACTCAGCAGTGCAAGATGTTTGCCATAGCTGCTGTTTTCTATTTAAATACAGAAAATCCAACAGTGTTGGATGTTCAACCAGCAATGGCTGGAGTTCCTTCCAAGTTTGGGACCACATAAATTAATAGTTACTATTGCAATAGATTTCAGACCAAGTGTGTCACCCATACATCAAAGCCTGCTGCTGAACAGCTGGGATGCAGGTGTAATTGATGTTTGTAATTGCTGTGTAAGATGATTCCTGTGGTTATATCCTAGGTATTAACTATACTTTCTGTTATTGGACTTGTGGAGGTTGTTGATCCTGCCCTAGGCAACAGGATCTGATTTATGAATGAGGGCACATCCACAACTCCCACTTGAAGTCAGAGAGCTCTATGTGCTCAACACTTCTGAAATACAGGTGCTTGACATGTAAGCAGCTGTCTCAATTGACACTTGGTGGTTCACACTTAGCATTCACTCTCTACAACCAGGAGACCCGGAGCAATGACAGATCAATGAGGAAAAAGTTGGTTTTTCACTCATGCTCAGGTGGCAGTGTACCTGCCAGTGTGAAGGTGCACACTGCTAAAAAGCAGCCCCTGGGGGTTCTGGCAGCAGGGGGTGGAGACACAGGGCGTGGGTCCCTGGTGTGTGACAGGCTGTGTCCCTGCAGTGCTCACGCCCTGACGGCCGATGTCAGCGTGGCGCAGACGGCGAGCGCGGCCCAGCTGTTCCTGGCCGACGGCGTGGTGCTCACTGGCACTGCCACCGGGCACCCCACGGACCCCCAGCAGCTGCAAGGTGAGCCTGGGCACCAGGGAGGGGGCAGGAGCCAGGTGAGCCAGGGCAGCACAGAGGGGACAGGAACCAGGTGAGCCAGGGCCAGGTGCCAGGTGAGCCTGCGCAGCAGGGAGGGGAGATGCTGGAGACAAGGAACCCTCACTGTGGTATCACCAAAGGGATATCAGGACAGACAAAGGTGATCCAGAGACTCCATCATCTGAAGGCTTGAAAAGGCATTTTATTATTTAAAATCTACAGTTCTTACAGAAACAATGGTGGACCTAAGATTGGCCTTTAGGAATCTTCTGTCACCTATTGGTCAAGAAGGGACAACTCCTTGTAGACATCTCTGACAAACAGAGATTGCCTGCCAGGTGCAGAGATTGAGATAATAATTGTTTTAATTCTTTCTCTGAGCTTTCTCACAGCTTCTCACAAGTTCCCAGGAAAATCCTGAGAGAGCTATGTCTCTCTCTGTTCAGAGGTTATGTGATACCACACTGTGGGGTTTGATTTGATCAGAATGGTCATATTTGAGGTGGTACTTAGATGGGCTGTGGCATGTTTCTATACAATAGTTTGGCAGGGCAAAAATGATAATTATTCCAAGCTTTTATAATGCTGAGTGATGCTGAGGCTGAAAGAAAATACTATTTCATTTGTAAAAAGCCCTAATATAAGAAAAAGCCCCTTTATAACCCTAGAAAATTAGCTATACTAGAACTAGCCATATTAAACTAACTAGCTAACCATAAATCTTTCCATTGAAGAGCTCAGTGTTTTTATCTTTCACAATGAAAATTTAATTCCTACAAGAAAAGGGGCATTTTGATAAGGCAGCATTCCAAACATTAATACCAGGGAAAGTAGTACTTGGAAGATTTTCAGAAAGAATACAAATTCTTTGGTAGACAGGAAGATATTAACATCAAAATAATTTTTAAATAGTGTGGACTTGTGTCAAGGGAGACTCATTTGACCTATGAGTTCTGACCTTTGCAGAAGTGCTATGATTCTTGATATTTTTATATTAGCATCAGTTTGGGCTGTGTTCATGAAACAGTATTGCTCCCATGCTAGAATTCAAGTTCTGTCATGGGGACATTTAGTTTTCATCACTAGTTTTAATTTAGATCAATGGCTTGAATTTGAATGTCTCACTACATAAAATAGAATGTGTATTTTTTTAGGTTTTACTTTACCTAAAATGCTGTAACTTGACATGTTTTGTAGTTCCAGTGCACTGTATTGTACTCAAGTTAGGAGATCAGCATGAAAAACATATTTTACCTGTCAGAGATAACCTGGACCTCAGCAGGTTGTATTTGTATCTTTTGTGTTGTATTTTTGTATCTTTTGAAACAACATAAAATCATTCAGTTTTCAGGGCTTTATGTATATCACACATGCTTAAGAGCATTTAAAATGAATGTTGAACTTGTCAAAATGGTTCTTATTTCATACATAATAAACTTTTTGCTAAAAAAACATTACAAATTGCTATGCCTCAGCCACCAATGCTAAAAAGAAAATGATGGCTTGGTGTGAACACAGCCTTTTGAATTAGCTGGGTCTTTTGGTACAGCAAATCAGAAATTATACAAGTGGAACAGGTGATACTGGAAGCTATCTATGCCTGCTTTAGAGACTGCAAAATTTTGTTAATCTAGAGATCCATCCCTGTTTGTACTTAATGTCTCCACTATTATTAATGCAGATCAAATAACTTTAAAAAAAATATTTGATATGTCTTTGGGCAAAATCCTAGGTTAAATTCTGCTTTCATGTATGCACATGCAGCCTCCATTGATTTACAGCATCAGAGAGTAAAACCTGACCTGTAGGCCCAGAGGCTTTTTTGTCACAGGACTCCAACCAGACAGAACCATAGCTTCTGCTTTTCTTTCATGTGAACAAACTTGTCAGTCCCTGTCTCTTTCTCTTTCTGGGTCCAAAGAACAAAATGAATCAGAGTTGGCAGCTGTAATGAAGTACACATTAATTCTGTGTTTGGATTTGTGTTATGAAAGCAGGAGTGTGCAGATCATGGGTTTATTGTACTTAGATCACAGCATTTTGGATGTTAGCAGGCCCTCTCATGAGAAAGATGTCTTAAAACAGGTAAGAGAAGAACTTAAAAATTCCACAGTATAAAAAAAATGACAAATTAGGCATATCTATGTCAGGAAATTCTTAAAAGGGATCAGATCTACAGTCTACAAAGTTGGTGTTGATGTGAGTGAGATTTTGCATTTGAGGAATTTATGCAGCCCTGGCAGTGCTGTATTACAGTGATACAATTGGGCACCTTTCATCACACTGCAAAGCAGCTCTTGAAAGCAAAGCTGAGAGACAGATGAGATTTTTGTCATGTCTCTTTTTCAGCTTTGTTGTGCAGTAATATAGAAGTGGTTTTGTCTTTGTGTGGAATTGATTGATTTGTGATGGGCTGTGGGAAGTGTTTCCCTGTCAAGGCAGAGGTGTGTGTTCAGTCAGGTTTTGTTTGTAGTTTGTGTTGCTGCCTTCTGAGGCTGGCAGGCTCTGCTCCAGGGCAGCCTGGGCACTCAGGGCACCAGAGGTCAAGGGAGTATGAGGGCTGAAAAATCAGGATTTGTGTTGTTAAGGAGCAAGAACTATGCTGAGCATTTTAAATTCATTAATAAACCATCTTTTCATCTAAGAAGTCATAGAAGTTCCAGTTTGCTGCCTTGTGGAATATTCTTTGGTTGGATGTGTGATGTGTGAACCCATCAGGTTTTTTCTCGGGCTATAACTGCTGAACTACCTGCTTTGCATTCAGTTTGTATTTTGAGTGACCAAAGCTTTGCATAATGACTGCTCAGTTATCTCTTTGAGCAAAACAAAGTGTCTCAACTGGGTGACCTGTGGAAAACAGGTACATAATGAAATCCAACAGCTGGCTGTGACTGTCACCTCCTTAATTACTGTTCATAAAAGGGGCCTCAAGACTGGCTCACCCCTCTCATCTTTTGATGGCCAAAATAGAGACTGCTGCCTGTGTGGTACCCTGAGAGACAGAAAAAGTACTGATCACTCACATCACCTGTTTAAGCCCTAAATTTAATGACAGAGAAAAAGTCCTTTGAATTAAAAACCTAAAATGTGTTAAGAGGGGAGCATTACCATAAACATAGTGTTCTGTATGGTACAGCGATCACTGCAATGAGAGAGCTGTCAGAGAAGAGTAGTCAAGCAAGTTATTGGCACAGTGGTGCTTATTTTTACACCACTCTTTGCCATTGTTTTCAAGCTAGGAGCACTTGGCCTTTATTTCATGAAACTTGTGCATACCATAGTTCAAATGCTTTCATTGTGCTTGCAACCAAGCAGGATTTTATTAAAGACCCGTGTGCAGCTGTGCTGCCACAAGAAAGAACACAGTGCCCTCTAGTTACAGTCCATGGAACAGAGAAATCTGTGTAAACTTCAGCAGCTTGTTACTGTAACATCACAAAACTGTCTCATTTTTCTCACTGTGTCAAAAAAAAAAAGGAAAAAAGAATGCCAGGAAAGCAGAGAGATTTGAAGGAGAGCTCAGTGTTTAGAGATATTTTGACAGTGACTGAACATTGCCACCCAAAAGCACATCTCACTGCTGTTGCTTTATTTTCTTTTACAGGTTAGAATTTGTATTAGCACAGCCAATAGACAAATCACCTTCTACTAATCAACTTTAGGCCCTGATGTGCTTGGAAAGGACTTAAAAGTAGCATCTGTAGCACACTTAATGAGGTAACACATCTCAGTGCACACTGAGCACTGCCTTTGCCATTCTTCACATTGTCATTGTGGATGGATCTGCAGCCCAGGAGATGTGAGTGTAGTCTGTGCCACGTGTAGAGCACAGCAGCATTTGATACCTTCCCACTTTGGAGGGCTGTGGCTTGTTTTGGAGTTTCTCATCAGTCTCAGGCTTCACTGGGTTTTTCCCTTTGCCCAGCAGGGCTGAGCTGTTGTCTCAGACCCATATGAACTTGCTCTGTTTAATTATTTGGCTCTTTGTTTTTCCTGCTGATGTGAAATAATTATGAAGCAACTCCCTGCTAATGTGCTTTACACACTTTTAAGAACAAATATTGACTTGGAGCCTGGTTCCTCTGGGGATTCAGTCAGGTACTGTCACAAATCTGTGGTCAGATGCACCTTAATTGTGTGCTGGTAGTGATGTAAAGCAGATAGGATAATCCTAAGAGCATATAGATATTATATAAATAAAAATAAAATTTAAAGTAAATATTCTCTTTTTTTAGAACAGGATATTTGTAATAATGCTATAAGTAACTAGAAATTAATTATTTTGTTGTTGTAAGCAGAATGACTAAGAATATCAAATATGCATAGAAATATGTTTTAATCATATATGCATGAGCCATTTGATTTGTTATATATTTTCAGGAAGGGCTGTGTTGAATGGTTTTATTTCTGTGTTAAAATCTTTTTAAGAGGGAGTTATTGTTCCTAGATGGAAAAAATGGTAGAGCATGTGACCTAAAAAGAGATTCAAGAACATTTTAATTGATCCCCTTTCTTCAGTGAAGTAGGAAGGTGATAAATAATTAGTCTTCCCTGAAGCATAATTAATAAGTTAGGCTTCTGATGAAACTTCATTTAAACAGTGTTTTGAAGCAGACTTTTATTTGTTGCATATGTGCTTTCCCAAGTTACCTCAAGCTATAACTACCTTGCCATCAGCTTATCACTAATTAAGCCAATTTATATGTTTTTAAAGTCAGAAATAATGGCTCACAACATTCCTCTAAGGGATGAAGCTTCCAGTCCTATGAGTCACTCTTTGGATGGTCAGTTTGACATAAAATGATGAGAAGGCTGCTTAAGTAATTCTTGAACTGGGCTTTTTTTTCCTCCTCCCAAAGCTAGTACTGCATTTTGAGCCTTGTTTTTGTCTGCTTCTCCTCTTGAAACCAGGTAAAAGATCACAAGATTAAGTAACACTGTATATAGGAAAAATAAGAGGCTTTTTTATTCCACTGTCATTCCTCATACTGATAAAAGACCACTTCTCTTTCTGGCTTTTGCTTTCTGCCAAAACTAGCTGAGCTGTCGGTAGTGCCTGTATGATCCCTGCTCTCTTTCATACAAGCAAATATAGGAAGTATTCCAGACAACAGAATGTAAAAAGTAAGATTTTTTTTTTCTCTTTAGAGCAAGAGGTGTTTTTTCTAAAGAACCTGTTTCATTCTACAGTAGAAATAATAAATACCAGAGTCACAAATTTCTCGATACATTTGTTTTTCTATTGAAAAAATAGGGAAATTAGAGTCTTTATGGAGAGAGTTTCAAAGACAGGAATTAACCCTGATTTTGGTTTTCTTCTCAGAGGTGAAGCAAGCTGTGAAGATTCCTGTGCTGGTTGGGTCTGGAGTGACTCTGGAGAATGTGGGGAATTACTTGGATGCAGATGCTTTAATAATTGGTTCGTATTTCAAGAAAGGAGGATATTGGGCAAATGCTGTTGATCCTGACCGAGTCAAGAAATTCATGGAACACATAAGTAAACTGAGGGAATGAGTTTGTCAGCAAACACTGTTTATTTGTGTTTGTTTGTAGAAATGCAGTGTGGTAAGTCCTACAGAATTAAAGCACAAATGTGTGGCCGAATGGCAAATAATACCAAATAAAAATGCACATCATCTCCATAACTAGCTGGGAAGCTTGGTGACATACTGCACAATAATCTGCTGCCCTGATGTTTGCTTCTAGGCAGCACATTTCTGTGGTGCTCAAAGCCACTGTCAATGCGAAGCCAACTCTGAAATCTTGTGTGAGATATTCTCTCCCGTAAGTTAAATGCTTACGGAGTTTAAGAATTTTTAGAAAATGTTCATCACAGGTGAGCTGAGTTCTGCTTTGCCTTTAAGTACAGTAGGATGCCCTAAGTTTACAGCTAAAAGTGTTGTAAATTGGACAAGTTAATTAGCCTTTCAGTTTCCCCATCTGTAAAATGATGATAATAGCACCTACGTCACACAGGGGCCATAAGACATAATGAAGGAAAGAATGTACAGCACTTTCATCTCTCTAAATGAAGGGCTCTTTTAAAGTTCAAGATCATTATTTTTTCATTAGAATTGTGCATTTATACAATTGCTACATTTTTGTAATACCACACAAAAATTTAAGATAATTGGGGTATTGATTTACTTACAATACTTATTAGAGAATAAATGTAAATATTTAATTACATTTAAATAGATTTGGAATGTAGTCAAAATGCTTTTGCAAAACCTGGAAATTTTAATAAAGGTTTATTATTTTTCAGCAAGCACCTGCAGCTTTGTACCTCTCTAGAATAGTAATAGTGATGTAAAAAACTTTCTTGTAATTATACCTTGTGTATTCCAATAGAAACCTTTTTGCCAAAGCCACAGGTAAACATAGATTTTTCTTTTTCATGTAAAATGTAGAGGAAAAATATTACAGTCTCACTGTGTATGTTGTAAGAGAATCCCCTTGAATTTGATCCTTTAGCTCTAAGGAATCTTAGAAGAACCCAGGGAATACCTCTAATGTCATGGCTGCACAAAATGTGGGCATTTATTTCCATTTCTTGGGACTGGGAGCTCAGTTTGTCCTCTGGGATCTCTCTTTTTCCTTGACATGTACACATCAGGCTTGTGCTGATGCCAAAGAAAGTGAAATTGTGGATATCAAAGCAAATATACAAATATGGGTTTTGTGGCAGCTGGGAGAGCACCCATGCTCCTCTGAACAAGATGCATCCTCCTTCCAAAGACAAGAAGATTTTCAAGCTACTTAGTTTTTTTCACATAATGGTGATTTCAGAACATCACAGTATGAGACTGTCTTGTCAGGTTTCTTTTTTCTGGACTGGTCTGTTTCCCACATGACTCCCACCAAAAGCAATGAAATCTCTTTGCTGTGTTGCCCTGCTGGAAAAGATGTATTAGGCCCTGTGGCAACCATGGCTTTTTCCCTTTTTCTCCAAATGCAGTGACACAGCTTCAATGCACAGAAATCCTTTTTTGTGGCTGGCACTGGTTTGTCAGAGTTCACATTCACACAGGCACTTTAAACCTGTGTCATGGTGCTTCCCTCAAACCAACAGTTGTGTCCCAACCCCATCCCTGTGGCCTTACAGGGCTCAGGATTCTGGCTAGAACCTAACCCAGCTTGCACCAGCCACACTCAGGGGCTGGGGAAAGGAGAATTGAGGTTAATCTTCTTCAGTCCTTGCATCTGCAGCTGACCAGGCTCTTGGTAGAGGCAGTTAAGGATCGTGAAGATGCTTTTTGAATTTTTATTCCACGCAGCCACAGCATCTTTGCCAGGTAAAGCAATGATCTGGTTTAGTCTTACAATTCCTAGCCTGAGTAATAAATGTTATGTTCTGTGTATTGTGAAAATACCGTATTAAATTAAAATGAATTCACTTAGATACTAGTAATATCAGTCTGCTTAAATCAGTACATATCTTTGATCTTTGTGCATTTAGACTGTTTTGTGTGTGTTTCCATACAGCATTGCACAGAAGATGCAGTGAAGGCTGTCCCAACAGGTGTGCACTAATACAATTGTTAGCAGCTTTGGAAGTTATTTTCAGTAAACCTGTGAGCTTGAAAGGCTGACATGCAAGCAGTGAGCACTGGTGTTCCAGTGCCAAAGGGGTAAAAATCTTCAGTCAGCCTGAAACTACAACAGGTATGCTGATAAGGATTGTTCAGTGGTGATAGTTGTTTTCAAAGAAATTGGTGCCTGTTGTCAAAAGTCACATTCACCACTGTGAGTGTAAGAACTTTGTGTTTGCCAAAGTGTTTCTTGAATTGATTTCTACTTACATCCTAAAAACTCAAAAGTGCCTGAAACTGAAATGGGTTTTCATCTGAATAAAAGGAGGGGGTAAGTGAGAACTTCCCCAGTGCTGCATGCAAGGTCCAAAGGCAGGGATGTTATACACAGTAGATGTTTAAGACACAAGTTGTTAAATACAGAAGTTGTTAAATACAGAAGCCTCAATGAGCTGGTGTAATACTCATAATAATGCAGTGAATACTGTAGACAGCCCTTTCACTGCCAGGATTTCATGTAACACACTGTGTGAGGAACACCAGCACTTGTGGAAGGAACAGGTCATAATTTGGGTCTGTGTTGTTACAAATGAAAGGTAAGTGCAGAATTTAGGGAACAGAAGTAAGGGAGAGCTGATTTTCAAGCCTGAAAGTGTGACTGATCACCAGCTCTATATCATTCTTTGTGCCAAAAGTATTTGTCTAGCAGCATTAAGCATCTGCTTGCCGGTTTCACACAGATGCTGTAAGTAGAATTTGACCTTTTGTTCAGCAAGTGTTTGAATATTTAACGTGAAAATATGAAGTTATCAGAAAGGCTGACTTTTGGGAAGACTGTTCAATTTTTATACAGCCCAAGTTGGTAAAGTACTTTGGAGCATGAACAACTTCAGAGCAGAACAAAGCAGCCAGTGCTAATGTGTAGAAACTCCAGAAGTAAATAACAGCTGTTCAAGAAGACTTCTATTAAATATGTATTAATTAACTTGAAGTGCATCACTTAAATATGTGAAGAGATTATCTTGTGTTAATTTACATTAAAACACACAGCACTTGTTAGCCTCATTACACCACCCTAAGTATATCCTAAGCTATCACCTCATCTTACACTGAGCATTTTGTTGGGTGTTGATTGCTTTCGATTTGCCCTTTTCAAATGTCAGATAGTGGCCTCCATTTCTTGTTGGATCTCTTCTTTCTCTCAGGTTTTGCTCTTGCATAGTAGCTGTTCTTACTTGTGCCTGTTCTGTGCTGAGCAGAAAGAAAAATAACAATAGGTTGTGAAAATATAATAGTAATTGCCCGCCCAGACTTCACAGGTGGGTCCTGCTGTTAACCTATGAACCAACAGAGAATGTAAGTGTCCATTTGTATAGGAAAATTGTTTTATTTGAAGATTCAGTATCACCTTTGGACCAAGAAAGATAAATAGTGAAATGGAGTCTTTTTAGTGAACTTATAGATTAATAAAAGGCAGTGTTAATAATAGTGGTCTAAATCAATGTGTCAGTTTTCATAAACTCTCATTCCATCCATAAAACAAGTATTTAGGTGGACATAAGTAAAAACCCATCTTTCTATTTTGGTGCTGAAAATATATAAACTTACAAGATTTAATTTAGTGCTATTTTAGCAGCAGATCCAGCTGCTGGGCTGTTCTTTGATCCATGATTTTGATTCCACAGACTCCCTGATTACAAGTTGGAGTCCAGTTCTTGTTTCTCACACCTATCCCAGCACACTCCTCACTAGGGGGAGACTGAGGAATGTGAGAACTCACAGGCAGGCCCTGGCACAGCAGGAAGGGCAAATGAAACCAAAATATTTGGCTTGAGCAGAACCTTGAAGTCCTGGGAAAGTTACTCCATTGCATGGCTCTCCCGGGAGAAGTGAGTAGGGCTGTTTGCTCTACTGTCAGGCTGTTTGCAGCCTCTTCAGTTAAGACTCTGAATTTGCACCTAGGCTGTGTTTCCAAGATTCTCTTAGCTGTATTTGTACTTAGGGTGACATTTTTTCCTAAGTGAAAGCTGGCTTGCAAAGTAATTATGGCAATATGGGAAGTGCTACCTGTAGAGAAATCCAGGCTTGGAATTCATACCCCTTTGGTTCAAGAGCAGATTTAGATTCATGTATCTTCAAAAAAAAACCTTTAAAGGTGACTTAAATTAAACCTTCACTGTGCCCTGACATCCAGGCAATGTTTGCTGTGCTGAGGAAGTTGAGTTTAGGAATAGAACTGACTGTGGCTTTTTTCTTGTGCATTTACAGTGCTTATCTCTGTGACCTAAAGGATGTATTTTTCAGAAAGGATGGAGAACAGGACTGAGATACTGTTTTTGTGGGCTGAAATGCCATGGTGTGTAGTAGAACTGACCACCCTTGCAGTGAAGATGTTTTTCCTAATATCCAACCTAAACCTCCCCTGGTGCAGCCAAACTAAAAGGCCAGGTGGTCTCCAATGAAATCTTGAGAGTAGCAGATGCCTTTACACCTTAATCTTTAAAAGCACAGAGAATTAAAGGTGGAAAAAAAGTCTTTCTGCAATGCCATCAGGAAAGCTTTCACATGAGGTAGAAGGGTTGCAATTCACAACATAATCTGGTTCTTTGCTTACAGTTAGAAGCTTTAGAAGTAGTGGAGCTAAGGAGAGCCTAAGATGTTTCTTGTTAAACACTTAAGGGTAGGAAAAGATGTGTGAGGGTAATTATCTTGATTAAAAAAATTGATCATCTTAAATAGGTATTTTTCAAGGTGCTAAAAAGGGATTTTGCTGATTTGGGCTGAAACTAATACTCTCTATCTATGTTTAACTCCTCTCTTTCCTGTCACTCAAATTTTTGTTGTTTCATGAAGTAAATTCAGTGTCAGCCTGCAAATGTTAGTGTTTTATAACTTCTTTTTTAAAAGGATAACACTTCTTTAAAAATGAGTGACGAATGAATGAGGGCCATTCATGAATGAGATAGAGATGCTGTTTGATGCATGGATTACTGGGTGTTTTGTATATTAAAATGCAGTTTCTCCCTCTGTCCTACCACCTGTGCAAAGGGAGGTGGAATATTCAGTGTAGAGAGTAGGAGCTGCTGAATTGGTGGGTATTTAGGACCTTTTTATTACTTAGTGAACAACATTAATTGTAAAAAAAAAAATATGTCTAAATTTGGCAAATCTGATATGAAATCAAGTGTTCAGGATAGTAGTTGAACTCAGAATTGTTTGACTTTGTGCCTGGTCACTGTGTTAGATGTGCTGTGTCACATTGCTTCAGAAAGAGGCCACAAAACAGAGATCATTGAAATCATGTTTCATACAAATGTAGGAGGAATCCTAAATTCAGCAGTAAACAAAAATGAAAAGGAAGGCAGCACAATAAGGGCAAGAAAAGATGCTTAAGTTTCCCACAGTTCCTGCCTCATTGTTTATTCCAGCTTCCTGTTTTTCTCAGTCTGCTTCTCAAGCCTTTCTTGTGCATATACACAGATTATAGTATGCACAAGAATAAGCTGAAGGCAGAAACTGACTTAATGAAGACATTCTTGTGAGAGAGAAAAGATTTTGTTGTCCACAGATGCGCAAAGAAAAACAGAAAAGCAGCTGCCCTTAGAAATGGAGTAAAAGTAGA